GACAGCCGCTCTGGCTCTTTCTCCGGGCATCCTGGGAAACAGGAGCTCAAGGGAGGGTGGTGGCAGTGGCCCTTGTAAAAGCTGGAGAGAATGAAGCTACCACAGTAGGAATGCAGGTGGAAGCAGAGGGGGACAGCCTTGGCCTGGATTCTGTGCCCTGGTGCAAGGGGGATTCCTTAAGGACTACCTGAGGGTTGGGTCAGTGGGTGGGCACAGGTGAGTGGGGCAGGGTACCGGGCACAGAGAGCAGAGGGCTGCCAGCATCCACGCAGGTGTGACGCAGCCCAGTCTGCAATCTAGCGGGTGCTCAGTTCACACTGCTGTAGACCCATAACCACACCCAAGAAGCCTTGTGTGACTTGTTCTAACAGAAATGGCTTTCAGTGCCCTACACCCGGGTCTCCCAGATATATACCTCCCACCCACATCATCACACTGAGCTCCAGGGCCAACCGTCTACTTGCCTTCTCCATGCCTCTCCCTGGACATCTAACAGGCCTCCGGCCCTAGCATGGCAGTGTGGGAGTTTTCATCGCTCACTGCTGAAACGTGCTCCTTCCCAGCAGATGCTAGCAGGCACTGCTGAGCGGTGCAGGCCATCTCTCACCTCCTCTGTTTCCCTGAACTCCGCACTCCACAGGTGCAAGGACTCTGAGCTCCCGGCCATGCCAACCCCATGCACTTCTCACGCCTTCACTGTGCACCCTCGTCCACCTACCATTCTCACTTCCCTGGCACCCACCGACCTCTGTGTCTGCTCTTCCTCATGCAGCTGACTCCAGGAAATAGCTGGACAGATCTCTATGGAAGTGTGGACCATGCCTCTTCTACTGTTTCTTGCTATCAATAGAATATAGTCTGGATGCCCCTCCCTGGTGACCTGCCAGGCCTGAGCCAACCTGCTTCCACAAGCTTCCTTCCTCCATGGTCCCTCAGGGCTCCTGACACTCCGGTATTTCTCCTATTCTTGAGCTTATGGAGTCCATTAGTACCTCAGGGCCTTTGCACCTGATGTTCCTTCCCTCTGCCTGAAGGGCTTTCCTTTCTGTGTGGCTTGTTTGGATCTTGGCTTCACTGTCAGTTTTTGAGGAGGATCATCCCTATTCAACCAGTATATAGCAGCTGCATTCACTCCATACCTCATCCCTTTCTTTCAATTCTCAGCACAGCACTTAGGATCAGGTGTTTAATTTTTATTCTTAATTTATTATCTAACTCTTCTCATGGAAATGGAAGCTGAAGGAGAGCCAGGGCTTCATCTGCCTTGGTCATTGTTGTGACTCCGGCAGCTAGACCCGTGCCTGGCACAGAGTGGGTGATCAATAACTATTTGTGAATGAATGAATTATTTAATCCTGATGGTGTTTGTCTGAGAAGGCTTTTTGCCTAGGGTAGAAGTGTGAGCTCATGAATGTGTTTCCTGGACTGGCTCTTGTGTACGAATTGCAAGACTAATTAAACTCATACATATTTGTGGAAATGCAAATATAATTTTATTTACCAACGACTGTAATAAAGGTAAATGCTCCTTACTTAAACAAACAGTTCACTTTGGGAATAGAGCTGTAAACGGAAGCAATAAATAAACACTTGTTATTGAATGCTTACTGTGCATCCCCTGAACTTCATGAGCAGGCTGCTCTGATCCTCCACCCTGGCGTTTACACCCATGACACCTGGGGCTGAGCTAGGAAGCTTCTCCCATCCGTGGATGCGGGTGCTTAGCCACAATAGGCAGGAGCACTCTCAACCATGCACACGCCTCTCCAGGCGCAGCCTAGCTCTTGGCTTTACCACTTAGTTGTTCTGTGTCCTGGGAAGTCATTTAAACTCCCTGTGTCTCTGTTTCCTTGTCCATAAAATAGAAATTGAGATTTCCTCCTAGGAAAAATGGGAGTATTAAATGAGATAGCATATTAGAGTGCTTGGCATGGAGCCAGTGCATAGTAAACGATAAATACACGTTAACAATTCCTCTCTTATCATTATTATGATTATTAGCATTATGCAAGACTGCTCTAGATGTTTCTACATATTCTCATTTAATTGCCACCATAACTCATGGAATCGGTGCTATTCCTGACTTCCAGGTTAGGAGGAGCTCAGAGCTCATGAAATAAAAATGGTTGCCCCTGGTCATCCTGCAGCTCTCCGTATTAAAACCCAAGTCTGTGGACTCCAGAGCTAGTACTTTAGCAATGCGCCACAGCTGTCTCTGGGTTTTGTGTTACAGCCTAGTGCTCGTGGGCTGAGTAAGCATCACTCCCACCTCACCATTTTACCCCATGGGCCAGCCCTCGTCACACTCCAGTCCTGGCGGGGGCTCAGCTTCAGTTACCCTCAGGTTCTGAGTGATCTCCAAGCCACGTCTCAGAACTTTCCCTCCTCTGCCCCGTTCTCGTGGTCACTGAGTTCCTCACAGCTGCACCAGCCTGGACACAGACGCAGCACACACTGGACACCAGAGGGCTAGAGACTGAGATTCGAAGTGCTCCTCCAGGCCATCTGCCTCATGCCATTCCCAAGAGACAGTGGAGATCCAGAGAGGGCCCAGATGTGTTCATCATGGGGCCCGCCTCCCTTCCCTGACCTGCTTCCTCCCAACCAGCACCTTATTGTCCATCTGCCAGTCAGAAGGGGCATCTTTGCCGGAATGTGGTGGGCTTCACTGTGTTTTTCTGCTGCTCTGAGGTTTGCTTTTCTGCATTTCCCCTCCTGAGGAGTCTGTGAGCCTTCCAGGACAGGGGCTGTGGCTTGTTCATCTACTTCTCACACAGTGCACAGCCCAACCCTGGGGACACCCTCGGCCAGCAACACCCCAGCCCAGGCTGCATGTGACTTCTCACAATCACCAAGATGGTCCCAGTCACTGTTGTTTGGAAAGTGCAAATAGAGGTGCCTTTCTCCATTTGCTGCTTTCCTGTCTTGCTCGTTTTTCTCATGCCTTGTACTGTTCACAATGGAGGAACACGTTTGTAATAAACTTGCTATAAAAACTAGCTGGACTTTGCTGGGGGCTCCAGGGACAATCCCTCCGGTCCCTGCAGAGCAAAAGAGTTACCATGAGTTCTGTGCCCCCTGAAATGTGTCAGCTGCAGTGGAGTTGGGGTGGGGAGGTCAGTTGAATGCACAGGGCCATGTGTTGCCGTGCCGGGTTGAGAACCAGTCTGAGGAAAGCTGGCCAGACATGTGGGTGCGGCTGGGTAGTGCAATGGGTCTGAGGCTCTGGGCTGTGAGATGCAGGCTCGAGGACTCTCAGAGGGACAAGAAGTGTTGCAGCTGCAGCAGTGAGAGGCTTCCCAGAGGAGAGTCAGGGCTCCATGGAAAGGAGAGGCTTTGATTTGGCGGAGGCAGAAGTAAAGAGGGTGCCCCAGGAAGGGAAGGAGGCTTAGTAGAGAGGTGCAGAGCTGCCTCCAATCTTCCGGGGAAGAGAGGGGAAGGCAGGGGCAAAGGCGGAGAAGACAGGGTGCCTGGGTTGTGAACTCTTTCGACTTCTTTTTCATTTGTTCCGTAGCTACAATTATCACAGGCTCACCGTGTTCCAGGCATCGTGCCAATGCTCTACCTAGATTACTGCATTTCACACTCATGATAAATTCTTTTAGCTGTTGTGTATATTCCTACTGGCTATACAGGGAAACTGAGGTTGGCCCAACAGGTAACATGATTTGCCCAATGTCACGCTGCTCACTCCTGGGGTGGCTGGGGCTGACCATTGTGCCGCCAGCCTCACCGTCTTTGTGCTACCCCAAGCCTCTCTCTCTCAGGAGGGTCTGTGGAGCCCCGGGATCTGTGTGAGGTACAGAGTGGGGTCAGAGTAGCTTCATCCACGGAGACATGGGATTTGCAAGAATGTATTACCAGAGGGCTTGGTTTGGTGTGTATAAGAGTGGTGTGAGAAAGAGTGTATCTGTGTGAGACCAAGAAAGTAAGCATATGAGACCTGGACCCACTTCATATAGCTGGGGAAGAGAGGTCTCTTATGAGAGTCTGGCAACAGCCCAAGGGATGAGTTTCATGGTGTAAGCAGATAGTCGTGAGAACATGGGAGGGTGTTCCCTGAGGAAGAAGCTTGAGCTCCGGTGGTGAGGAAGCAGGGCATAGAAAGCTAGGGGACAGCCACGAGGTGTCCAGGTTAGAGGCAAGAGGGAGCCACAACATTCCCCTGGAGGAGACTGGGGCTTTGAGGATCAGGAGGATTTACAGTGTGAAAATACTGCAGATCCTCTGTTTCTGTCTTTAGAAGATGCAAAAGTCTGGGGCTGAGGCCAGGACCTTAATTTTCCCCAGACTTCAGGAGATTCTGATGCAGGCTCCTGAGACAGTGTGAGCAGTGCCAGCATCCAGCGTTAGTTGCAGGAAGAAAAGGTCCTGTACCGTGTGCCTGAGAGCACCCTGCTGAGAATGCATAGGTAAAGTGCAGAAGAAAAACCTGGGCCTAGACACAGAGTAGTCGTCTCAGGGGCCAGAGTGCTGGGGCCTCCAGATGAGGGACGTGGTGACTACTCTCTCTGTGCCTGAGCTCTTAGGAGTACTGAGCAGGCAGGACTGGCTTTCCCTCTTCTCCTGAGGAGCCAGGGGTTCATGCAAAGGCCAGAGGTGTGCTGGGGCCTGGTTGGTGAGGTTTGCCTTTCTTGTCTGTACCCCAAGGTCTGGATTCAGCCTCCAAGGGGCCAGAGATGAGGCCAAGGAACAGGACCAGGACACCTGTAACTAGACTCAGGGGCACTGCATTTGGGCAGGAGGAGCTGCCCAGGAGAAGAGTGATGCACTTAGCCTGAGGGCATTTCCCAGGCTCCACCTTGGCCCTCCTGGGCACTGTCCTTCCCCAGAACACGTGGCTTCCAAGTGTAGCCTCTGGCCTCCCTGGTCTGGTCTGAGTACCATCTGCTCTGGCCCAGATGGAGGCTGTGAGGTGGGGGCCTCTCTCTTCCCCTAGCTGCCTGTCTCTGTCATTCACTCACACACACACACACACACGTGTGTGCACCTGCACATGGCTATGTATTCATCTCCAAGTAGAGCTGGGCCCGCAGGGCCACCTTGTTGGAAGTCGACCCCCGCTTTTTCCGGTCTCCCAGGGAATCTGTGGGCAGAGTGTGAGAAGATGCCACAGATGGCCCAGCTGCACATCCAGGAAAGCAGCTTGGTCTCTGGAGGACACTGTCTGACTTCGCATAACCTGATTAAACTGCCCATATCCACGTGTGAGCGGGACTTTGTCTCCCCACATATCTTCCCACAGTTCTTCTCCATCCCTGGCCAGAGGACCCCCAAAAGACACCCACGCTCGTGCACATCTTCAGGGAATGGCAGGAGTGCCCACCCAGGGAGTTGGACTCATCTTTTCTGTTTTTTACATGCACTTGGTAGAAACTGTAGTCATAGACGTACACACAATCTGTCACTAAAAATTGGCCCAGCCGGGCCATCACAGCCCACATACGCCTGCATAAACTCAGCACGTATGAGCACACACATCCACATATCTCCTTGCCTGGCTTGTACAGAAAGACTGGAGTGTGCTCACATGGATGTGGCATGCATGCATGTAGACACTGCACACCCACCTCCCATGGACATGCACACAACTTCTCACTGCAGTTGCAGTGAGGAGCTGCAGACCTTGGAGCTCTGTTTAGATCCACAACTTCAGGCTTGGGGCAGATGTGATCTTGGCATGGGATAAACCTGTTCCTAGAGCTGGATGACAAAGCGTGGGGCTCTACAGAACAGCAAGGCCCAGAGGGTAGAGACCTGCAGTCTTGGAAAAACGGAGAGAACTCTGTCTGTATCCCTTCTCTCTCTAGAACTAGGGTAGCAAACAGCTCTCCCACATCCAACACATAGTGACCAGCACACACGTGTGCACACAGTGTGCTTACTGGGCATGGAGTAAATTTCAAATGGTCTGTTCATCTATCTCTATCAGGTGGGGAAACCACAGCAAGCACATTCCCAGTCTTTATCTTAAAGAAAAGAAAACCAGAGGTTGGGGGTTCCTGATGAACTTCTGGCCATTGTTAATCCTTTGATGTGTGTGTGTGTGTGTTCTCTTATTCCAGCTGAGCAGGACCACTTTCTCTGCCAAGTACGTTTCTTGGAGCCCAGCAGCCTGGGAATAGGCTTGGGTGGACTGCAGGGCACTGGGTGTGAAGTTTCTCCTGCTCTGAGCCATAGCAGCAGGCAGCCTGAAGCAGCTCCAGAAACTCCTGTCCTCTCTTTCTCAGTTTCCACCTCCTGGAGGACATTGCTTCTGCCTACAGATCTCAGTTTATCTTTCTGAGAGCTTTCTATGCCAGTTCATAGGGCTGGGTGGCCCTTGGAAGGTCTGCCCCACATCTCTCCAGAACCTGCCTTTGGTCTTTCTCAGACGAACAGAAAATTGGCCTGGGCTCCTGTGGGTTGATGCAGTGGGAGGATTGCAGAGGGAATTTCAGAGATGGCCTTGTGGGTGTTTGTTGATTTCTAATGAGGACTTGGCCTCAGCCTTTAGGGTGTCCCTAGCTATACCGGGAGAGGACTCTGGCCCCTGGCCTCTGCAAAGTGTGAGCAGAGGCTCCTGTCTGCTCCTGCCTGCCTTTGGTGCTGGGCCCTTGTCATTCCTTTCTCAAAATCATCTGGCTTTACCTTTCCTGCTAAGGAGATAGGTGGCTCAGTTGTCTTGGCCTTGTGTTTAATTAGGTCTTGTGACTAAGGAGTGATGTGTGAGTGTGCAAGTGTGTCTGTGTCTGTGTGCTTCTTCTGGTGTGTCTCTGTGTGTGCCTGAATGTTTCCATATGTGTGTATGTCCGTCAAAGTGTGAATGTAGCTGCATTTTGAGTCTATAGATATCTGCATATGTGTCCATATCAGAGTGTGTTCCTACATATGTCTGTGTATGCTTATTTGTGAGTCTACATGTATGTGTGTGTCAGTGTTTGTGGGCGTGCTAGTGTGAGTTGTCTCTGTGGCCATGAAGGTGAACATATTTCTGTGTGTGCACCAGTGTTTTCAGATCCCCCGCACAGGGCAGCATGGGATGATGTAAGAACATTAGCTAGTAATGACGCAGGACTTCAGTTTCCCCATCTGCAAAAGGACAACGATGGAAGAGACGACCTTTTTACTTCCATTAAGGAAGTGTGCAGCCGTAGAAGTATGGTGGGCTTGAGAATATGACAGACAGATTGGGGGGCTTGAAATTCGGTCTGGTTATTTCTCTCAGTGCTTCCATTTGCTTGCCTGGCATTCAAAGGGGGCACAGTGCCATTTCTGCTGAAGTTTTGTTATGAGGACTTCATGTGAGAAAAGTGGGTGAGAAGCTGCCTGCACTGTACTGCACAGTAGGTGCACTGTCAATCTTCCTTCCTCTCCACCTTTCAGCCCCACTGTTGACCTGTCTCTTTGCATCCTGATTTAAGAGTGGGCAGAGCTGCTCAGTGGTCTGACGGTGGTGCTGGCTCTTAATACGTGACGACGAGCTTGCATTTTCCCCTCCTCATTTGACTCTGATTGTGATCCTAAGAGGTGGGTCGAAGAGGTTCCAATATCGTGACATAAAAGAGGAGAAACTGAAGTTCTGAGTGAGAAGGGGACTGGGCCCCTGGTTGGGGAAGCAGAGGCAGGATGGGCAAGGATGCAGACATCTGGGTCTTGGGTACAGGGCGTTCTGTGTGCACCAGCTGTCCCTACAGCAGGTCCTGTCCAGAACACCTAAAAATGTCTGCTTCCAGAGGCCCTGTGACCAGGCTTCCTCTTACTTGTCCAGCCCAAATGGGAGAAGCCTGTAAATGAGCCCCAGACAACTCAGGTCATCTGGTGAAGAGGCACATGGATCAGGGCGCTGCACAGGAATTGGAAGGTGGCATTAATCGGATTCCTCTCCTCCCAAATAGTCCATAGGTTGTGGACATCCAGAGACAGATTCATTAGCCTCATCATTCATCTTCTTTACAGAATTTGACTCACAGTGATGTTTGCTGTTTTCTTAAAGTCCAAACCACTGCAGAGCAATGTGACTTGAACTCGCAGGCAGCAGAAGGAGAAGACAGACTCATGTTACTCAAGGAGCATGGTCTCCCAAGATGTCTCAAAAGGCGATGCATTCAGTGATTAACTTAGGACAGGTTTATGTGTGTTGTGGGTAACTCTATTCCACAAAAGATGGGAGCTCTTGGCCCAGGGGCTGCCTAGCAGGTCAGGCTGAAGGAATCTGCCCGCCTGGTCAGCAGCCTTGAGTCTGCCAGGCCCCTTTTCCTGCCTCACCTGCACCCATCCTAAGCTTGAGCCACTCTGGGTATCTTGGCAGGATCTGACCAGTTGGTAATTTTCCCTCATCATTGTTTTCCCATTTTTCTTTATAACAAAGGTATCAACTTCCTGGTTATGACAGGACTAAAAGCAAATAAGATAAAATAAAGTACTTTACAGATTAAAATGCTATATAAATAGAAGGCATGTGATAATATAAATAAAACAATTTAACCTCTATGACACACTATAAGATGCACGGTGTGACTTGGAGGAGAACACTTTTGTACATAGGTTTTATACACACAATAGAACATACGACTTAGTTTGGCATGTAATGTAGTTTATAGTATGTGCTGCACCCATAGGATTATGTAATATCTTATGACATGATATTCCTAACGCAGAGAAAAGTAGACTCAAAATCAGTCGACATTAGGCTATTTTGGCATTCGAAACACAAGTCCCAGATTTGTGATTTTAACAGCTGAAGCTGAGAGGAAGAAAACTAAAAATACTAATGGGGAAGATATCTCCATCAACCAGCAATGTGGCCCACTGGGTGGGGAAGCTGGGAAGATAGAAACCCCCAGAATAGGTCTGGGTAAGGGCACAGCAGGGAGAGGGCCCTCTTGGGAGGAGGTGGAGGAGTTGGGTTTGTCAGTGATTGTTCTTACTATTTATAAAGCCAGATGAGGAGCTATAGGGCTTGCGGTGGCCCCTGTGTCTGCTGATTAGCTGGCGATTATATTGATGATGTAATAAAAATTCACTTTGTCTATTAAGTTTCACCAGGACAATCAGGGAGAGATTAGATAAAAATCAGAGGAAATGAATAATAGAATGGAGAAGGAAAGCCACAAGTCTCCCCCGCCACAGTCCCTGTCTCTCGGTCCTTTTGCTGCCCCCAAGGAGGCACAAATGAAGAAGCCCTCCACTTCAGCACCCAGACAAAGCTGCACTGGAAACTTCCTGAGTAGGGATGCTTTTGGGGAGCGACTTGGTGCTCCAGATACGACACTGCTTTGAGTTTACAGACTACCTTTAATACTTGCTAAAACCTTGTCATGGCAGCCTGCATGGATCTGCTGACCCTGATGGGAGGTGGCCAATGTGATTGGCCCTTTAGCTGTTGGGGTCCCTCTGGTCCCACAGCATGGCAGGTGGAGCTCCATGTGGGTGGGCAACACTGCTCTAGGCTGGGCAGACACATACTCCCCATGGGCCTCTTTGCCTCATCTCCTTTCCCTCTGGCCTGGCCCATGCCAAAAAATTGCCTTCCCCCCATTGAAGGGGCTTCTCTGGGTTAAGGCCTGCGCTTTGAAGGATCTGTTAAAAGGCACGTGCCACAGCGATGGTAACACGTTAATGCCCATTAGTTCCAGCTGCATATCTGCCTGGTTTGATTGCCTGGACTTGGGAAGGATAGGAAGAGGTCACTTTGGATTGTGGCCCATTGCCTGAGAGCTCTGGGCCCTGGCTCGGTGGCTTGGGGCTTAGGGTTTGCGACTGGATTTTGTGGGGCTGCATAATGGGGATCTAGGGATGCTCGGAGATTGCCATTAGTGACTTCTACATCCTTCCTGGAAGCTGGGTCTTGGGGTTACTCGAGCTCCACGACTAGCTCAGTTCTAGTTTTCCCTGAGAAATCTGTGGGCTCAGGAAAATGCTAGGTAAAGGTCAGTGGAAGGATCCCATAAACAAGAGTCTCCCTCCCTTAAAGAGTTGGACACAAAGGCCACTTCATCTATTTTGGCTCCCCTGAGCTGGGTTTCTCTTCCCAAACCTAGAGAGACCACTGCTCTCCTGCAGTCATGGGCTGCCCATGAATGCTTGGCCGCCTTGCCCAGGTGC